AGGAGAGAGTAAAGGGTCCGAAAAGTTCTGAAAAGAAAATGAATGAACATAAAGACAAGAGAGTAAAGCTCCAAGAATTTCCGATGTAGTAGATTAACTGGTTGGCAATCGGTTGAATGAAATAATTCAGTTCGGTTAACCGATTAAGGAAATTTTTCTCGGTTCAAATCACTAGGTTTAAGAGGACAATATAAACAATCACGTAGACCATCATGCCTAATGGATCTCAAACATTGCCTAACTCACAAAATTTCTCAGATTTATTAAAGAAAGTACGTAAACATTTTTGTTACTACCTATCGTATATAATCTTTTGACTAATTATTAAAAGCATCTTAAACCAGAAAAAAATGTTTATGGACTAACTGAAATAATATTACGAATGAATGAATATATGTTAACATTTGATAAATTTAAAAGAAACACAATCTTGGAAATTGTGCAAATTGTAAGCGACATAATATGTCAAACTTTACAGAAACTATAAAAACGATTTATCCAATGATCGTACATATTTGCCCGTTAAAATGGCGCGTTTAAATGACCTAATCAAGTCATGAATATGTTGTACATCAGAACTGAATTATTGTAGATTTAGAATCAACTTAGGTTGGAATGGAATTCCAAATGTATCCAAGTTGATACGAAATTAAATTCGATACTGCAATAATGTTTAAGCGATTGACGTAACGATAGTTAAATAAATTATATCTATCGTCGTGATAAATTGTCAAGATAAAATATCAATTTTTTATACTGTACTTTCTTGTTTTTATTTCAATTTTTCGTTCTTTGCAAAACTCTACCTGATGACCGAATTTCGATTGCCTCATAATGCATTCAAAGAATTTTTTTATAAATGTCTTAGCAACAAATAGTCGACGTAAAACCATGAAGACTTTGATTTTTGTATTAAGGTTATACACGATCCAGCAGACACAAGACAACGATCGAAAGACACTCCCCTGCAAGATCCTCAAAGTTTTGGAGAATGACACATATAAACTCGAATTTAGTATAATTCTAATAAATTTTTCCATCGGGTTCTGATAAGTTTCCAAAATTAAATAGTATAGTCGACTCTGGATATAACAAACTCAAATTCTGAAATTTTATAAAACTTAGTAATTTTCTATAACGATTTTTCTCCCAGAATCTTAAGTTCGTTATGACTATAGCTCAAAGGCGTTCGAGACACGACTATTATGCAACCCTCTTCACAAGTACATAGATAATACTAAATGCAATTACAAAAACGCGTGACAAAAATCATTATAAATATAAAAAAATAAAAGCTATGAGAGTAGTTGCCATCCCACTAATTTGCAATGAGCCACGTTATGAATAGATTCTATCTTAAAACGACTTAAATTCCAAAACAATATACTCGATGAAATAATTTGGAATACACTTAATTTTATCTAACGACTTGGGCATATTTTAGAATTCTAATGCAACCTATATTTATTTTGAATCAACCTAGATGGATTCTAAATCCAAAAAATCATATTAAAGTTGATATATTTGAGGGAATTTTGATATATAAAAATTTATAAAAATTTGGTTTGTGGCTTAGGTTGATATTATCGAGGTTGATATTAACGGAGGTAACCTGTATAACAAATACACCGTTTAGTTATCAGTTTTAACCCGACAGGTGTAAATGGCACACCTGGTAATAGGGATGGATCAGTCCTGGAAAGACTGAATAAGGACCGATCTTTTAACCGGTCTCAAAGATTAACCGGTCCCCAGTCCTGAGACCGGCCTTCTAAATAGATAATAAAGTTACTGAAAAAAAGACAATCGCTTATTTCAATTACCGATGTTATATCGATATCATTTAATTCTTTCCGCTAGTCAATAGGAGAGTTAGAGGTCGGGACCGCTTTTGGGCCGAGACCGGACCAAAAAAACGGTAATGGACCGGACGGACTGATTCATCCCTACCTGGTAACAGCTCGTTTACAAACGAAGTTGCAACTTTTGTAGTATTGACGAAGTCGTAATATAAGTAGCGGGTATTATAATATGTCGTAGGTTGTAATAAAAGTAGTAAGTAGTAAATAATGTCGTAGGTCGTAGTAATATAAGTAATGAATAATTTAATGTGTTATAAAATGCCGTAATCATATTTAATTATATAGTAATGAATAATTGAATATATCAATCGCATCTGTAAACTTGGATAATTGCTTGAAGATTTAGTAAATCAATTTTTGGCCAAAGAATTTATAGAAGATTAGTATTTTTTTTATGGGGTGTTCTTAAGCATCTATCTCAATAGGCTCAACAAAGAATTTGATTGGTCGGTTTGATCAAACAGACCACTTAGATTCTATTGAGATAGGTGCTTGAAAACGCCTATATTATTATATATAATTATTTTATGGTTTTAAAATTTTTTTGTTTTACAAACGCAGCTTAACTCTCTCTTTAGTTCAACTTCGATAACATTCGGAACCGCTACAAAGATCAATTCAAAAACTTATCAAAACAAAATTGAATTGATTTGGATGCGAATTTGTCTGTTAAATAATTCACATCGTTTATATTTCAAAATGAATCGACGTGTAATATCGTAACTAAAACGGTTCCTTAATTGTTATGAAGGACACAACTCAATATTTGGAATTATTTAATTTCAAAAAAAATTGAAAATAATAAACTTAGTTTATCCCTATCTCTCAGACAGTTACAGTAAGCTTAAATATATTAATTCATTTTAAATAACTGCACTATATAAATTCGGTCTTTCTAATAAGTATTCGTATATACTCTGGTTCATGTCTTATTAATTTATATTTATGTTATGATTTGGACTATATATTTTATCTTACTTATTTTGAAACAAAGATCATTCGCGAAGCTTACAAAACTGTGCTTAATTATCAAAGTTTGTACAGAAAATGTAAACAATATTTTATTTCTCCTGAAACACTAGATCTAATCAACTTTACAATGTGCTACATATAAATACGACAAGTATCGCGACCTACAACATTTATTACGACCTACAACATATATATTACAACCACACATATTGTGCTACAACAGGTTGCACTAGGGTAAAGTACCGTTAGAGAAATAGTTAAAAATGGTATTGACTACGTAAAGGCTATTTTCAAGTAGTCTAGCTGTAATATTATATGGGGCTTACATTATTAACCATTCAAGATATATTATCAAAATCAATTTTGATCAAGGATTTATTATATTATCCTAACTCTAATTGAAATGAGTGCAGCCAAGACAAAACCTGTAAGTAAATATTTAAGCCATCACTATGACGAACTTACGTACGAATCAAATATGCGCGATCAATGTTTGTTTTAAAAGCCTGACGGCAGGTTTTCGCCTGGAGGACTCGTATACGATTTATTATGTAATATCAACCTTCCCAGGGTTAAGTTCGCCGTAATAATCAAAATTTACAAGAAAGTTAAACGTATAATATTTGTCGTTATATTGCTGGTTGATAGGACCAACGCTTAACATTCTAACAAACGAAAAATTCCACCAAATAAATGTTTACTTGTGTTTTGAAATTAATATAAATTCTGCATATTTTATGTTTTATATTATTGTACTGTAAGGACGTTTTTCTCATATTTTAAAATTTAACAAACATCTGCCACTTTTGATAAAAAAAAGTAATACAGTATATAATTTTCTTTAACACATATAATAAGCACAAGAACAAATAGCATAACCACTTAATGCAGTAATAAGATGAATGATATCAGATATTTAAGCACATTGCCCATCAACCGTACAACTGGGACCTGAATTAAGAACCTTATTAAATGAGATTTCACCTTTCTTTACTTTTTCCAAAGTTTCTTGAAGAGCAGTCATAGCAACAGGGTCATCTTTCTTTGTAGAAACATTTTTCACGGCAGTTAAGACTTGATCAAAAGGAGCATGATCTCCCCAAACTTTTTCTCGATATTGATACTCTACACCTTTTGAGCCTTGATGAATAATATATACACCACCCAGAACTGAACCATCTCCTTTAAAATTCCCGCTAACACCCTGGTTTTAAATGTCATTAAGATTTATCAATTTTGTATTTGTGAAAATGTAAAATAAGGCCATATAGAATTAATTGGTTTTTATATTCCGGCCGGGTCAAAATTTGAAAAGTTTTAACCGGGTATAATATAAAGCCTGCCAATCAGGTCTGTTTTTAAGATTTTCATATTACGAAAACCAAGGAATTAACTCTATATGACCTTACGGATACAAATAATAAAACTTACACTTTTAGCGTTTTGCCTTATATTAAACCATACAGAAGGTTTTAAAAAGCTCGTGATTCCTCCATATTGTATTTTACCACCACTATATTATTTTAAAAAAAAAAAAGACGTCAAAAACATTAAATATAGAATGGTAATAATTGCGATAATTTCCGTACCCAATATGAGTAAAGAACGATTTCTCTTTATCATAATATAGTAGTCCATTCCAATATCCTTTGTTAAACTCTTCAACTTCATTATCTAGGTTCTCATGCACTATTGCTACCATTTTAACACCCTAACAAAGTGAATGATATATATTTAAGAATTTATAAGAGTGAAAGTTCGAAAGTGTAAAATGAGTGTTTTATTACCATTTTGTCCGAAATAAGATCACGATAAGAAGCAATCTTTATAGATTCCTCACGACATAACTGACATCCAGGACGTCGAACTTTAAAAACAGAAAAACCATATACTATCAATCAAAATTACAAATATAAACTAGTATATCGAAAATTAATAAATGCCTACCGACTAGAACCAAGGCAGGGCTATCTTGCCAAAGAGAACTAGCCTTAAATGTGGAATTATCTTTAAGGTCTGTAAGGATAATATTCTCCAAGTCTTTAATAGGTGTAATTGGAATCTCTTCGGTAGACATTTTTAAATATTTTGCAAAAAGAAAAGAATCCGGGATTTGAGCAATAAAATCGTGGTGCAATTCTGAATTAAAAAGGACAAATGAGGTAAAAAACAAAAAAATCGAAATAGAACGGGCTGAGAAAAAACCGGTAGAAAGAACCATTTTTTATTTATCGATCGTGTGAAACTTATATGTATACTGATACGTAATCCTTATTTTCAAATGTACATTACGTAGCAAAAAAATTTTATTTAAATAGTAGTACGTATCAATTATTTGTACGTAAAAGTAAATCCGAAACAAATATTTATATTACTAAAGTAGGAAATTTGCTTACTAAACTCCAACTTAAATTATCGTCACCTCAACTTATATATGAGTAACGCCAAATGAAAACCAGGCTGTTTTTAAACTTATCCAACTTTCGCACGCCATATGGCGTCCCACAGTGATTACATCAAGGGGTAAATTCTTAAAAATCTAAAGAATTGAATCCGCTAAGTTATCTCGTAAACCATTTTCCGTGGAAATTTGCGTGGAAATAGCATGATTGACCTGTGATTAAGCTTAGATCGTAGTATTAATAAATTGACGGTAATGGAATCATACATGTAATAGAGCTCGGGAATCCATTTAGATTAGAACAGAATAATTATTTATACTAAAAATTCCGAATCAACTTAAATTCTGTCCTACAATTCATTCACTATATCTGTAATTGATACGTGCATACTTACGTAGACTATCTCGACATTTCAAATTAAAAAAAAAATACTTAATATATCAATATAGTTTGGAAAATTCCTTAATAATAGAATTTTACACATATATAGTTTGGATTTACATAGTTGTACTACGTAATAATCTAACAGCTAACAAACCTCTTGATTAGTGATGCAGTAGAATCGTCCCAATGAAGTCGAATGATAATTGTCACATGGCTGTAACTTGCCGTAACTATAG